ATATGGTCTATCCCTCTCTCTTTTGCTCGCTGTCTCTGTCTGTCGGTCTGTCTGCCAGTCAGTCTGTCTGTCTACTGTCGTCATTTGCCTGCTCTAGCCCTGACCCTAATTTTTGGGTAAACAAACATTTCATTGGTCGCATTTTTGTTTGTCGTTTGTTTCGCTGCCTGTATTTTTTTTTTTATTATTTTTTTTTCACTTCACTTTTGTTGTTCTGTCATTGCGCCACCGACACCGTTGTTTTTGTGGCTGTTGTTGTTGTTGGGGACTTTGGGGCATATCTTTTAGGCCCTTATCTGCCTAATCGTTTTTGGTTTATGCGCCTTGTCCATTTCGCCTCATTCCGGCTGTGAATGAACTGCGCGTTTAGAACTCAACCTGCCTAAAAATAAGGTGTCAACGCTCCACGGACAAATCGGACAGTATTTGTTCATCTCTTTTTGTGCTTTCGGGCTAAATACTCCAAAAAAAAAAACAAAAAACATCGTCCGCAAGCTTTAGGCACATTGACCCATAAACCCAAATGCCTGTTGGGATACCCTCTGATTGACAAACGTTTAAGGGAGTTTAGCAGTTGAAAGGAAGGCCAGAAGGGCATAGAAACTTAAACGTTTTGATAAATAGGATATGGATTAAATGGAAAAGAGAGTAGAAAACTAGCAATTTGATGAGGATGTAGGGTATATGACAGAATAGAATATATTAGATATAAAATATACAAAAATTATAGTCTTAGTAGAGAAAAAAATAGAAAACTATCCATTTTAATGGGTAGAAAGGTTAATCGCATCAGGATAAAGGATATATGTGTAGGATATATTTGGTATATTGTTTAAAAATAAAACATATAGAAAGTGTTTTCATTCACATGAGAAATTTAAGTATTGGTTTTTATAGAGTATTCTGTGTTTCCTTGTCTACATACATTTTCCTAAGCAACTTTTTATGAGTTCGTTGTCTTCTCGATGTCATAATTAAATTATCTACAAATTTGGCTATTTATTTGCATTTCTATGATTTTATTGACTGCAGAAGGCAGATTGTAAATAAATAAATGAATATATATATATGTATATATATATATATATGTTTTTTAGATTTCTATGCCAAAATTGAGTTCAATGTTTTGTCAAATGACGCATTCGAAGTCTGTCAGCTGTTTAGAAATTCCACCAAGTTTTGCATTTGCGATGATGCTATTGAACTTGAGCTGCAACGGTTGAATTTCTGGCCGTATTTCAATTGAATTTATCTGTATCTGTTTTTGAAAGTGTTGATTGAATTTTTATGATGCCGTTTGTCAATGCTGATTTATTTGTTTCACTGCTGCCTTGTATCGAGTTTATTTTGTTGCAAATTGAAAACTGGTTGCCCCAACAGAATTTTGATTATTACTGCTCTTCCTCTCTCTCTCTTTTTTCCTCTCCCTCTCTTTCTCCCTCTCTCTCTCTGTCTTTCACTTTTTTTTCACTTTCTTTCTCTTTTGCGCGAAACCGCGTTGATGACTGAATAAATACGAGTTTTATTATTACCTTTCAGTCTTTGCAATACAATAAAAATGTAAAAATATTATCGAATTTCTACGGCCTGCTTAATTCGGGGGAATATTAGAAAATCCCAGCTTATAATTACTAAAATTGCTTAAAATAATCATCATTTGTACATCAATCAATGTGGGTTTTTTACCCAACTAACACAAAAAATGTCTAACATCTTAGAAGAAATATAAAATTAATACACAATATTATTAATATTTGTTTTGTTAATATATTTTACATGTTTTCTTCTTTGATTTCTGATTGCTGCATGATTCGTCGTCTTTAATCTGCAACTTTCTCGCCTTTACAATTTTTGATTATATTTTTTTCGTTTAGCTTGCGATTTGTATAAACAACCGATTCCCTTATGGAAATAATGTGGGTCGCTTCTTCTGATTGCCCTATTTGATTGTTGTTATTCAATTATAATGCTTATTGTAAACATTTTATTAGCTAATTCCGACGCTTGTTGTGCACGGTGAGAGCGTGTGGGTTCCTGGTTCATTTGGAAGCTAGTCAAACTCAAGAATTTCCCAATAAATACCAACAAAATATCTGCATAAATGAGGCCATTATCTCAAGGTCGCTTTCAATTGCTGTGTTGCGGTGTGTGCTCATTGCTGCTAATGCTGCTGCTGCTACTCTTTGTATACACTTGCAGTAGGGCATTTTAGTTGCGCAACTGAGTTTGTAACGCTTTTGAAAAATATAAAGCTACAATTGTAAGGCATCTAGTGGTAAGTTATACAGATACTATATGATAAGAGATAAATAAAAGTCTAGAATTTCAATACATTTAATGATTAATCCCAACAAATTTATAGTTGACTTTTATTTACTATATAAAGAAAGAGAAACCTTTGAAACAAGGAAAGGGTATTTAAGAATCTGCACTCTAAATATAGCCTATCTTTTGTTGTTGCTGTTAGATTCTGTATTGTTTGTTGGAGCACTTTTTATTGAGGCACCCACATGCTTTCGATGGTTTCGCTTTCGTTTTTTATTTGTGTTTGCTCGCTTTTTACTATTGCGGTTGTTATTTCGTTTTTTCTTTTTTTTCGTTTTTTTTGGCAAACAACCTTGATAAACTATTTTTATCAGTCAAATAAAAATGGGGCCAATGGCAAAGGCAAGCGAGCGTCTATTGCCCATTTCTGTTTGGGGTTAGTGTGCCAATTAACGATTAGATTTCGCGCTGCTCCGCGTTCTATTCTAGGTTAATGGCATTTTGGCAAATGAAATTGAGACTGACCGATTTGAGGGAGAGGCAGAGAAAATGCTAAACAAATTAACTATGCAAATTACGTCATTAAATACTCTTTTGTCGATCTATAAATAATATATACACATTTTGCACTGCCATTGATAATTGCGTAGTGTTTTTCCCAAGCATGTGAAAATCAATGCAAGTGTTTCTGCGTCACAGTCTGCCACAGAGAAGCACACAAAGAGAGGGAGGGAGAGTCGCTTTACAATTAAAACACAACTTGGTAAACATGGCAATATATATAATACATACATATATATATATATATATGCAGGAGGATGCGGGTCGTAAATCGAATGACGTTGTTGACATTGTTTTAACCCTGACCCACAATTCGTGCCACATTCGTGCCTTACTTAAGCGTAATTGCAATAGCAACAATGTGGCAAAGTGCTCGATAGAATAATATTGCTGAACAATGTGAAACCATAAATAGTTCCAGCTACAAATATATTCTAAATATAGCCTAATAATAGTTGTCTGAGATATATTTATAATTGTGATAAAAGATAAATATCTAAGAATATATTTGCAAGCATTAAGGTGTTCTTATCAAAAGGAAAAACTAGTGATAAGGTCACCTGGCAGTTGAATAAATGTATATTAAAGGTATATTATTGTTATATTATATATTATTGAAGATATATTCGTATTAAACCAGTAGAAAGCCCAACTAGGGAATATCCCAATTTATATTCCATGAAATATCAGAAAATTGGATAAGCAAATATATTTTTTATCTGGAACTGTTTCAGTTTGCTTAAACTTCAAAGTTTGAGATGCAAACATTATTTCAGCTGGCACTTATTTTTTTCGATTACTGCATTTATTATCCATTCTATAAAGAATTTGTGGCCCTCACAAGTTGGTTTTGTGTGTGTTTTTTAAATGTCAATTTCATAAATCCCTCAGCAAATTAGCTAAAAAGAAACACCAAATGTGAAGAGGAAATGTCAAATGCAAAAAATAACAGAAAACAGCAACAGCAACAAGAAAGAAAAAAACAAACAGTGAAGAAATGATTTCTATATTTCTATGCTATTCGCGCTGAGACATCTGGCGGCCAGGAAACGAACGAAACGATGACGTTTGACGATGACTTATCAAAGTCGCAGTTCTGCTAAGCCCCCTCCCCCCCTTCCACCATTCTCTCTCTCTATCTTTCTGTAATATACTCTCTCTCTCCCTGTTTATTCTACTTTTACTTGCGCTTTACTCTGCTTCATTCATTGGCGAGCTTTGGGGTCACTGGCAGTTATCGGTGCAATTTTGTAATCAGTCGCCGGCTCAAGGTTAACGGCAACTGCCACCCGCTCTCCTCTCTCTCTCTCCCTGTTCTCTGCTCTCCTCTCTCTTTATTTGCACATATTGATAGTCGCCATATTTGTTTTTGTTGTTGTTGTTGTTTTGCGCAACTGCGCTTTCAACTGTATTTCACTTTTCATTTGATTTTATTGTTATTTCATTTCATTTTTTTATTTATTTCTTCTTTTTTTTTGGGTCATTTGCCCGTCTGGGGCAGCGGTATTTTTTCTTCTTTTTTTGTATTTTTGTTTTTATTGTCACTTTTGTTAATTTAGATTTATTGCCAGTTTAAATGCACTTTCATTGTGTTGGCTGTGGCACAGTTGCCTTTTTTTTGTGGTCGAGTTTTTTCTTTTTTTTTGGGTGTCTGTGTGGAAGGTTCATCGATTAGCGCTGATTGCGGCAAGTAGGCCTAATGAGCCTGGCAGACAAATAATGCGTTTGCCATTTAGACTCTATTATACATTTTAAGTGATAATAATAATAATAATAATAATACAATATTAGATCGAGCCTGGCTGTGAGCTTAAAGCCAAATATATATTTTCGGAATTGATTCAACTAAATTCTGGTTATCAAAAATGTACAACAAATGTTGAAAGTAAGGCATAAATCCGGAAAACCCGCTTACACAAATGGTATATAGAGGATGGCAAATATGGCGTACAAACAAATCGCATTTCCGGTTCCGGTATGTATGTGTAAAGGTTCCGGTAAAACTTATAATTGTAATCCAACTTTTTTTCGGCATTCAGTTCGCTTGAACTTATATTATTGGTTCCTGCAACTGGTTCTTTGACGCATGTTGAATTTCAATCGGTAGCAAATAAAGACTTCAACTTAATTTAAACAACAATTCCAACAAGACAGTTGTTTTCTCGATTCTGGATGCAAGATTCAATTACGTTTATTGATATTATTTTCTTTGTTGATCACATACACAAGCTATATGTTATAATATCGAAATATATGGTGAATATATCATTTAAATACTCTGTGTTTGTTGCAGCTTTTAATCTTCGCCAATTTTGAGTTGCTTATCCAAAGTATATTTAAATTATGTCTTCTCGTAAAATTTAAAAATCAAATTTAACTTTTTTTTTTGGTACATTTTCTTAAACTCTATCTATCTAACTCGCTCGCTTGCTCTCTCTTTCGCTCTTTAGTCCTGTCTCTGTCTCGCTGCCTTATTTTCTTTAATAATGGAACGAAACAGTCGTAAATTAAATCAATTAGAACATGCCTGTAGAGAGGAAGCCATTAAGGATTGTTATTTTTCCATAATTAAGCAGTCGAAATACCCTGTAATCTAGCCATCTGTTCGGTAGTCATGACAATTGGCAATATTCGCTCCGGCTGACCATTAAGCACCAATTTGGGATCAGCCAATTTGCCCATATAACACTTACGCATCTTCAAATATTGCACCCAAACATTCAAAGAATTCAGATTCCGATCGCCAAGATTCGCATCGAGATCGAGATCGAGATCGGAGTGTCCCTCGTTGAGAAAGACCTGTCGCGTCAAATGGATGTGTCGATTGGTGATATAGATATTCGATGCTGATGCCGATTGTTGATCCTGGACGCGTTGAGCCAAGCCCTGAATCTGTTGATCCTGGAGCACAGTGCGCATATAATTCTCACTGATCAACTGTAAATTGCAATCGCGTAAATCTCGCATCGATGCCTCCAAACCACAATTCCTTTCGCGCAGCGACTGCAACTGTGAGTCCAATTCGATTTTATCCTGCTCATACAGCTTCAGTGTCTTCTCCCACTCGTCGTTGATGCCATGCAACTCGGAGCTGCGCTCCTTGGACGCAATCTTGGCGTTCACATAACGCTCCGATAGTTCCGTCAACTTGGCCAACGCATAGATGCACGCAAATATCCAGAAGAAGTGCAAATAAACATCGATGGAGCTGTTCTTGCAGCTCTCCGAAAGTGCATCCTGCAGTTCCGCTTCCAACGTGTTGTTATCCTTCATATCCATGTTGGGATTGTTGTTCGATTTTTGTTCTAGTTGTTTGTGTGTAACGTGTTGAAAGCAGTTTCATATTATATATATCGTTGGATATACATTCTATAGTGGCCTACTTGGATTTTTTATTTACCTGTGAAAAGCTGGTCATAGTGAAACAGTAGCCAAGCTATCAGAGCCAAGCCCAAGCATATTGCAAGCTTCACAACGCCTTTCATTTGTGCAAGTTGTGTTCAGTTTGCGAGAGATTTGTTTGTTTTTTTCTTTGTCTGAATTTTAGCATAAATTTAGTAAAATTAGTTAATAAAAATTTGGTCAAATTACTGTTGTAGCTTAAAAGCAAAAGCTTGCTTAATTTTTGATGTCGGCTTTGGAGATGTTCATATTAAATGTTGGATGAAGAGTTCCCCCCCAAGTTGGGTCTTGTGTTGGCTCAACGACTTTGTCTGCGTCTTCTTTGAGGCACCTTTTTTTGTTAATGCAGCACGTGCCTTGTCTGAACATGGCCAGAGTTGCCTTTGTTGGGCATATCTGTGAGGCAAGGCAGACTCCAAATATTGTCGTCCTCATCCCAGCGATGGCTGGACACTGACAGAGGAGCTGATAAATCGATTCATCTTCTTCAACTTCAGCTTCAATTCAGAAAATGTTGTTTAGAGCGGGTGGAAAACTGTTGTTTGAAAGTCTTTTGCATATGAACAGAGCAGAATTTCATTTGTGTTGAAGTGGGCCCCCCTCTCTCGCTGTGTATCTGCCACTCTGCGGCATTGTCAGCAAACCTAATTAATGACTTGTCTCGCTGATTTACTTACACATTGTAAATTATGACACAAAAGTCGCGTAATCCTCAAACCAAAGGCGGAGGAGTTCAGTTTTGCAATGCGATAAAATCGACATCTTTCCAAATTGTCACTGTCTGCAAAAGAAGAAACGAAAATGCTCGATTCGAAGTTACCCTGTACGCAATTGAATAAAGCTTAACAGTTGATCATTCAATATAAAACAAGTCGGGATAACTTTGGCCAGTGTGAAACTTGTAAATTTTAAGACAGATTGTTCATTTGAAAACTATTTAAGATATGGTAAATAGTATATAGAATGTTGTAGTTATATCCCTCTATCTACCCTAATTACGAGGTATACAAGCGCAGCATTGCCAAAGTGTTCCGACCCAATTAGGCTTGAACCAAAAAAAAGAAAAATAGAAGAAAAAAAGTATTAAAATATGTCTGCAACACTTAAATAAATTTTGATTAGGATAAATTTGTTGCGTCGCGCGTGTTAATCAAAACTGATGATGTTTATCGGTGCAGACAACCCAACTAAAACACCCTGTACTCTCAAGTGAGTACAGCGGATCCTTTGATTTACTTTGCTATTATGTTATTATTATTAATTTGCTTATTTTACGGTTAGTAATTGCATTTCAGCATTATTAGCTGTTGTTCTAGACTCAATCGTTTATTTAATTTCTTGGTTTGGAGTGTTTAAGTGTGTGTGTGTTAAGTGTGTGTGTGTGTCAAGTGTGTGTGTGTCAAGTGTGTGTGTGTGTTGAGTGTGCGTGTGTGTTTTTCCAGCACTTTGTTGATTTAATTAGGTAAAAACTTTGCGGCGCACAAAATGCCAAAATGAGTAACAACCGCAGTCGAGGAGGAGTCGTTCATTGAACTGGCGGCGGCTAACAAATGAGTGTTGAATCGACTGAGTGTATGTGTGTGTGAGTGTGTGTGAGTATAAGGTTGAATACTTCTGGGCGGGGGTAGAGTGCAAAGGCGACATGTGGGGCCTCTGTTTGGTGTTCGCTTGACAGACAGACAGAGAGAGCAGTCGTCGTTTCTTATATGCATCCAAGTTTCTACGACTAAAATGATACACTTTGCATATTTGTCATGTGCACATATATACATATATACACATACATATATATATATACAAATCAGTTAAATATTTGACAGATTTTTACAACTGAAGTGCATCTTCTTCAGAAGGTTAACCGGTTTTTTTTTAAGCGTTGTTGTCAAGCTGCTCCCACAAAAGGATTGCAAATATTGCTACCCAGCGAACTGGAAAGTCTTGGGTGTCTTGGGTGTCTACATTCTCCAACTAATCGATAATTTTTGTATATCTTTGCCCCACATACATATCCCAAGTGGTTCAATTTGTATAAAGCATCGCTAATTTACTGTATAGTTAATTGTTTTAGTTTTGGTTCCGTTTTTGCTATGCAAAGTGTGAAAGGTTCAGGTTAAGTTTAAGGTTATGAATTGATTCCTCATTATGAGGCTTTATTTACTATATTTATCGGTTCTTCTAATTGCTTCTTGAATACATATTCAACTTAAGCATTAAAGTTGCAGGTTATAAATTGATTCCTCATATTTTGAAGCGGTATTCGTTAAAACTATTTAATTTAATAGTCAAAGTTACGATTCCAGTTTGCCAGCCCGTTGCAACAGTGGAAAATGTTAACCTATTCCTATAAGTGATTTTTTGTAATAGAAATTGAAGCTTAACCAAAGTTCAACTTGATATAAATTGAATATATAGTACTATAATTTATCGCTTTAAATAACAAATCGTGGACTTTACGAGCACATAAATAAATAATTTAATTTAGCATTTATAGTCGGATCTTTACAGCTGATTAAATATGTGCAATTTAAAAGGGTTTGTAAGGGGGGCATTTCGTTAAGTAAGGCAGATTGTGTGTGACAAGTGCAGCGAAGTGCGTGGCTATTTCAGTTATACTTGCCACAAGCGGTGCAACAACTGCAACAACAACAAATCGTGTCCATCAATTGCGTCGTTATTTTACAAAAGGACCTTGAACAGAGAGGGAAAGAGAGGGGGTAGAATGGGTGTGGCAGCAGCATGAAGCGTGTTTCCGTCTCTGATCCTGTAAGCCAGTGCTGCAGGGCAGGTCTTACAAACTGGAACTGAAAGTCCTGCGTAAACAAACGTTTCCTGCTCGCTTGAAGCTGCAACAGGTGGCACGGTATGCGGCACGTGTGTTCCACTATTGATAATAGTGTCTGTGTGTGTGTGTGTGTGTGTGGGTATTTGTGCCACGCCCACACAAACAGACAGAGCCCTGTTTAATATGCAATCATTGATTTTGAGTCGCACTGTCGTGTTGTCAGTTTGTATTACAGTCTTACAGTCGACGAGACTGCGCGACACTTTATTCTACCTGTCAGTTGGATGCCCTGTAAATGAGTTGCAAAGAGGTGGTTTGACTGGGGAAGTGTATGCGAGGCAGGCGTAGACTTCAAGATTGTCTTTGAGCTCTCCTAAAATGTTTAATGACTTGCTAATTACTGATAATTACTAAACAAATTATTTCAATTACTTTGCAATTACCTAGACTTGAAGCAGCGATAAGTTATCTTAGGCAATGTAAATACCAAATCATTGATATCAATCAATTAGCTTTTCCATTACTTTTAATTACTGAGATAATTAAATTGGTAATTGATTTTTAATCTGATGCAGTATTTTGAATTTAAAATTCCCTAACTGATGTATAATTAAAATTAAACATTATACAATACTGAAAAAGGTTTTCCATCACTTTTAATTACTGAAATCACCGAAATGGTAATTGATGGATTATTGGGATGGTCAAACACTATCTAATTAAATTTAATTACATATACAGCATTAATACAGCCTTTCGTGAGATATTTATCATTCCATCAGCGTCTTTAATAGCTATTCAACTTGTTGATATCGATCAATCTTGATTCGTATTGCCTTTGCATTGGCTTAAAATTGTCACATTGAATGAAAGAATGTCACGCAAGTTGTCATTAATGATAAATAATATTTATAATATGTATGCAGCATACAGACCGACATATATATATATAGAAATTATGCCTGTGAATATAAATCTAAATCAAGACAAGCGCGACACGCCAACATGTCTGATCGGGCGGGGTGTATATATATATTTATACGTTTATATAAAGTTTAAGAAATTGCACGGCATCAGTAAATTATTTTAATAAAATTCCAGACAGCTAAATATCTGGCGGACATTATTTGTATTTGTGTAGCATTTGCGCCGGACGTCTGGTCAAACAGCACAAAATACAAATACAAATACAGAAATACTGAAATACTGAAATACTGAAATACAGAAACACAAGTAAACTCTCCGAGACTCGACCCGACTCGGCCATTCATACGTTCCTAAATAGTGTGCCGAGTAGACGTGTCTCAATAATGCAATTCGTGTGGCAAGCAGCGGGTTCAAACAGGGGCGTTCTCTTTGACGGGCTGCAATGTCTAATTTAGATTCAAAAATTGCCTGCAGTTTGCAGATTTTCCATATTTGGAGTTGGCGCAGGCTGTCAAACTGCAACTCATCATTAACGATTAGAATTAAAATGCAGTTTTTGTTCCGATATTAATTTGGAACCAATTCGTAACCTTTACGAGTAGATTTACGCTTTACCGGAATCGGAACTGATTTTACCGAATTGAGTCTGATAATCTGGTATTGAAGTATTTGCCCTGAGTAATTTTCACTTCAGAACCCCTTTAACAGTTTATATTGAGCTCTGAGCCACTCTAAATATTTGAAAAAAGATTACAATTTATATTTATATCGAAATAAAATAGTCTTTATTGTAGTTTTGTATATCTAGCACTTAAATAATTAATATTGTCTTTTACATGAATATTGGGAAATTACATTAATTTTAGTTTTACCATATTCCAGCCCCCTTTAAAGTAGTTGGCAAACGCCGCTGTTTCGAGCATAGCATATTCATGCATAGTATTCTCGACTATGTAGTTGAATGAATGTTTTTTTTCTTCTCTGTATATATATATTTTTCTATATTATTTTTGTAGACAGCTCGTCAAGTGTCGGATCGTTGAGTGTAGCAATTTTCATATTCAATTTGAATTTGCATTTTGCATTTAACTTGATGTGTCGCCGTTGACATGAGAAACGTGCACAAATAATAAACTTATCAGACAAGGGGCAAAAAATTATAATGCAGAGTTGCGCCATGCTTAACAGACGCCAAATGGTGCAAAAAAAAAAAAAAAAAAAAAAACGTTAATTTATTTGAAAAGTTGGTCGTTTTGAGAGCAAAGCAGAGCATGAAAAGCGTAAGAAAGGCTATCAATGTTTCCACTAGGAAGTGTATATGAAATATATAAATTATAAAAAAAAATTGATGAGGATACGAAAGAGTATAATTTAGTTAACAGATTTCATATCTTAAACGTTAGCAAAGGAAGAGCGAGAAGAGAGAGAAGCAGGATTCTTTAAGTAACAATATC